CAAATCTGCTCAGTTCATGCATTGACACAAATCCACTGTGACAACTTGCTGGATGTACTTGGTGCGGGAGTATTAGTGTACTTGGTGCGGGTGTGTGAGTGTAGTTGGTGCGGGAGTATTAGTGTACTTGGTGCGGGTGTGTGAGTGTAGTTGGTGCGGGAGTATTAGTGTACTTACTGCGGGAGTATGGATGTACTTGGTGTGGGAGTATGGTGTACTTAAGAATGGGAGTACTTATTGCGAGTGTTTTGGTGTACTTGGTGCGGGAGCATTGGTGTACTTTGTGCGGGAGTCTGAGTCAATTTAATGCAAGAGTTTAAGTGCAGTTAGTGTGGTAGTATGAGTTTACTGAATGCGGGAGTATGAGTGTACTTGGTGCGGGTGTATGGGTGTACTTGGTGTGGATGTATGGGTGTACTTGGTGCGGGAGTATGGGTGTACTTGGTGTGGGTGTATGAGTGTACCTGGTGCGGGAGTATGGGTGCACTTGGTGCGGGTGTATGGGTGTACTTGCTGCGGGAGTATTGGTGTACTTGGTGTGGGTGTATGGGTGTACTTGGTGCGGGTGTATGGGTGTACTTGCTGCGGGAGTATGGGTGTACTTGCTGCGGGAGTATGGTTGTACTTGGTGCGGGTGTATGGGTGTACTTGGTGTGGGTGTATGAGTGTACTTGCTGCGGGAGTATGGGTGTACTTGCTGCGGGAGTATGGTTGTACTTGGTGCGGGAGTAAGGGTGTACAGTGTTATGTACATGAGTGCTGATGTATACGTTGTTGATGATGACCCCGTCGATGATGTCTCAGTGGAATTGGGTGATGATTGTGTCTGCGATTTCGTAACTGATGTCCAGTTCCTACGCTGTCCCCCTTGTCTGATTTGTGTGTCGTCATCTCCCAGAACAAAAACTGAACCAGTTTATCGTAGCTCAAATAGGCAACTTTGTTCCCTTATCTGGCTCTCATCGTCAAGGGAAACAACTCTGACCGAACCTCCCGCACTCTCTTGGTGTAGTCTTCAGAAACCCTGTACTCTGCATTCCCCTTCAGGAACTTTCTGGCAGGTTCCATCACAGCTGCTTTGTCCCTGTAGAATGAGAACTTGACAATTATCAGTCTACTTCCAGTGCAGGCGAAGTGCTCTTTCTTTGCGGATGGATTGAACTTCGATGTTAAGGGTAACGTCCATAAAATCTTTGACACACGCCTCACGCTCTTTCTTAGTTTCCCGCCTCTTTTCTTGCAAAGCATGAAAGATTAAATTTGATATTCATGACCGTGCCTTAATACTGTCATTTCTGGATTCCAGGGCATCAAATTTCTGTTTCAAACTTGTCATCATAGTCCTGTGTGATTCGGTCCATCTTGTCATCGACCCGTGAAGATTCCGGGTTAGAATAGATCTTCAGCAACCCATGCTTTCCGTAAAAGGTGACTGTGCTTGTCGTAAAAGGCGACTAACGGGATCGGGTGGTCAGGCTCGCTGACTTGCTTGATGCATGTCATCGATCCCAATTCCGTTGATCGATTCTCATGATATCAATCACTGGTTTGTCTGGTCCAGACTCGATTATTTACAGACCACCGTCATAAAGCTGGAATATTGCTGAGTGCGGCGTTAAACAACAAACCAACCAACCAACCATCTTGTCATCAAGGGAGGTAATCTGGCCAAAGCTGTCGGGAGGTGGAACAATACATACGCCCTGACTACTGTGGAGGAATACTTTGTAAGTAGAAACAGAAAAAGTATGTGTGCGTGCCTGTGTGCGTGCGTGCGTGCGTGTGTGTATGTGCGTGCGTGCGTGCGTGCGTACTGCTACATCGGCCACCTTATACTCATGTCAGTCAGTTCTCACAAGCATGGGTACATGAACCTGAATATCCAGGTAAACTAATCTCAGCCAGTCATCGAGCTTGTATTACTCATGTCATTGACACTGTCATTGTGCATCACTGCACACATTGCAACCATGGCACACCATTTCATGACAATACATTCTCATTATGTGGCAAATCTGATTGGATGCTGTTCGAATTGAGTGAGTGAGTGAGCATGGTTTAACGCCGCTTTTAGCAATATTCCAGCAATATCACGGCGGGGTACACCAGAAATGAGCTTCACAAATTGTACCCATGTCGGGAATCGAACCCGGATCTTCGGCGTGACGAGCGAACGCTTTAACCACTAGGCCACCCAACCGTCCCTGTTAGAATTGAGATATGAAGAGGGAGATGTGTGTGACTAGGACAGGACTGTGCATGTGACTGTGACTAGGATATGATTGTGACTCTGCTGTCTTTTCACATATTGTAAACCGTGTAATTTTAAGATCAAAGGAGGCTTTCCAGTGACGGTATATTTTTCTGTGGGGCTAATTTGAAAGTTTGTCATATCAAGTGCTTTTCGGTCATCCATTGACATATTTTTCACCACTATTATGCCTTCTGTCTCAATGGAATCTGTTTAGGCAGATAATCGAGACTGGCTATTCTCATTGACGTTTTATGTTGACACGTGAGTAGAAAATTAGATACCCTTTCTCCTCAGGCGGAAGGGACACAAAGCTACTTCAACGTCAACGCTTACTCTGCCGTCCCTGACGGCATCCACAACGACGTGAACACCCGCGACAAACTACAGCAGTACGACCCCCAGCTCTTCGATCTCATACAGGAGGTATTCCCGTGCGGGAACACATACCTCCAGAGGTGTATGACAAGCAGACGTAAGCCACTTATTTATTGTTCGTTTGCTTTACGGGGGCGCGACTTGTCTTGTTGTCTATCACGTTTTCATCAAGACCTGAATTGATTTTCCAACATCAATAAATTATCCTGTCTGGGCCAGGCGAACCAGAGATTGAAATAATGAGCAATACTGTCAGCTGTTTCCGTGACATCGGTGTCTGGCAGTGTGCTATGATGTATGTGCTGCTAATATTGCAGTTACTGAGAGAGGCCAGCAACTGAGGATGAACTGTAACCCTGGGTTTGGCGGTACAGGAACTGAAACTGGAACTGGAACTGGAACTGGAACTGGAACTGGAACTGAAACCGGAACCAGAACCGGAACTGGATCTGGCACTGGAACTGGAACTGGAACCGGAACTGGAACTGGAACTGGAACTGGAACTGGAACTGGAACTGGAACCGGAACTGGAACTGGAACCGGAACCGGAACTTGTTCAGGTACAGACACTCTCGAAGTTTACAATTCAGGAGCAAATATCAAGCTACAAGAAATTTCGACAAATGATTTGTCCCGAGTACAATACCAGTTGTCTCCGTTTCAGGCACGTGTCAGGACAGCAACTACAACTGCAAGTGGTTGGCGTCTCAAGGGGAGTGTGACGCCAGCCCTGACTCCATGCTACTGTACTGTCGACAAAGTTGCAACACCTGTGGAGGTTCGACATTAAGCTTTCTTTTCTAATAATATTTCGCAGTTTAGCCAGGCGTCACGCGTAGCCCTTTTTTCTAATGTGACAACATCGCTGGGAAGATTGCGTCCCTTAGACGTACCAGAATACTATGGTCCTTCATACAAAATCTACTTTAATCCTGATACAAAACTCGTCCTTCTTCTTACATCCTTGAACAATCACACACTGTTAGAAAGTTTAATTTTGAATGTAAAATGAGGAGAAAACACAGTATTTTCATACATTTAGTGTATTCATGTCATCGTAATCATAGAACTCATTCACTGACGTGAATTTTCACAGCAAAGAGTTTCTATCAATACCGGAAATTGCCGATTTCCTAATACCACGTGTCATTTATGCCACCTAAGTGTCATCTTGGGTGTGAAAATAATTCTAGTGGAACAAATTGCAGTTATCACAAAAAGAGAATGCATTTCGTGTTTCGTAATTTAAAGGAGATATATTCTGTTTTGATGTGTTTTGGTTTTTTTTAGTTTCTTTGTTGTTTAACGCCGCAATCATCAATTTTCGACCTATATGACGGCGGTCTGTAAATAATCGAGTCTGGACCAGACAATCCATGAGCATCGATCCACGCAATTGGATACGATGACATGCATCAACCAAGTCAGCGAGCCTGACCACCTGATCCCCTAAGTCGCCTTTTACGACAAGCACAGTCGCCTTTTACGGCAAGCAGGGGTTGCTGAAGACCTATTTACGGGTCAGGAGATATATCGAAAAAACCTTCATGTTAACCCTTGTTAAGCGATGTCAGCGAGAGATCAACACAGACTATATGAACTTGGTTTCGAAAATAAATATAACATTCATTGTTACAGATAATCCATGACTGACTACCCTTGTACAACAATTACAAAGGACCGGGCACATTTATCGCATTATGTGCTGTGGTTATATATTTGGCACACTGTTTGTGTACATAAATTCACATATTCAGTTCCTGGTCTTGCGTACTTGAAACCCTTGTCTGATTCTGCAGGAAAGAAAAGCCTCTCTTAATTTATTCATAAAACATTTTGAGACTCCCACCCCTTCCTCCCCTTCCTCCCCAATACCATCTATTTTTTCAATCTGAGTCTCATTTGCTCCCCAATGGCACCTGAATGCTACTTATCACATTTTTTTTAACATGAAGAGTAGAGTCACTGTGCATCTTGTAAGCTAAATGCCTACCACTAATACCCCGCTGTTGATCAATGAAGTAATTATTATTATAACTGTTTAGATGGCAGTATAACTGAACAAACCATCACTACAATACACTCTTAACACATAACATTCATTAGTATGGAAATAGATTTAGCATAAATAGTAATCTACCAAGCACTATTCAGAAATATTGATCGTTAACAAGTCGACTCTCCGCTGTCACGTCACGTGGTGACAACTTTGCTCCTTAACTCTCGGTAATTTCCGGAATACGAGGAGGTTTTAACGTTTTTTTTGTCACAAATATTGCCCTTGAAATGTTTTCCTTCCAGATACTTGTTATAATATGCTTCATAAATGATTTATTCTCATATTTATAGTTTACGATAAATCTCCTTTAAGGTGACCCTTGTGTGAATTCCAACACCAACTGTAGCCAGTGGTCAAGTGAGGGGGAGTGTGAACGGAACCCCGACTACATGTTGACCTCGTGTAGACGCAGCTGCGGCCAGTGCTGATCGTGTCCACGCAATAAACCAAACAACATGCAGTTTAGTTGTCATTTTGTGACATTACATTTGTCATTTGAACCTCGTTGGAATGAGCGTTCGCTTCTTCTGAACAAAGGTCTGAGGATCTCCCATTACGGGTCACGTCAGAAGGAGCTTTCATGCGACCAATCAGAGGGTCGTTTACCAGATCGAGAAAGTATCCTCCACAAGGTTAACGCGGGGTATCCCGAACGACAGTTACGGACTGTACGACCGATACTGTCAAAATCCATTCGTAACCACCTCCTTTATTCCAGGACAAGCCGAATAGTGACTCGTGCCCGTCTCGTGGCCATTTTTACGACCGGGTTCCGTCTTAGCGCAAACGGTCATATCGAAAACAATTGTCAACTCGTTGCGTAATTGTTCACATATATTTCCCCATATATTATATATATTTCAAAAGCACATCGGGACATGCGGAATTATACAGTATGATTGAACACATTTAATTGTGCCTTGGGTATATCTTTAGATGCAAGACATATCTAAAATAAAAATAAATATTTCTGAGGAATTCTTTGATGAAGAACTTGAAATCATATGCGCATTCAATGTGTCGTATTTTCGCACATAACAATCATCGATAGGGGGACGGGTCTTCTTTCAGGTTACTGAGGCGAGTGGTGACGAATGTGTCAAAATCCTTTTTCTATCGCTTCAATGGGATAAAAAATAAAAAATTCCATAGCTTGTGTAAAGAACTACCACACAATCTCGGTCACCCATTAGACATTTCAGAATTTTCTTTGGATCAATTTTCATATTTTGAATCAATATTTTCTTTCAGTCGACAGCCTGAAATGGAAGTCCCCAGTTTGAAACTTGTTTTATAAAGCTCGAGAAAGCTGCTTTCTGCCTGGCTTCATGTTAGTGATTTCAATGATCGATCAAAGTTCGCGAAAAGCTGTTCTGGCATTAACTGTAATGGGATGTTCTCACTCAGATCTTTGTGCACCGGTAGCGAGCACAAAGATCGGACGTCTATTTATAGTTTATACTTTGATACAGTTTAAGAACTTTGACACAGCGTGTTTAATTAAAAGGTAAAAGAGTTGAATTATTTACAAGCTTGTTACAATCCAATTTAAATGTGTTACTATCTGATATACTGTATATACAGCATCGAGCAGAAAATCCTGCAACAACTATATTTTGTGTTTGACCCGATCCTGCACATTATCAACTAAATTCCCATGTAAGTAGTTGGTGGCCCCACTCCAGGACCGCTTCTGACTTCTGATTGGTCGGTTTGGTCACGTGACCTCTGTGACCTCTCATGACATAAGGTCACATGACCTGCGCAGAGCGGCGTGGGTCCAGCGTGACTTCACGATGACACCACTTCCGGTGGTGCGTGCGTATTCAAGATGGCGGCATTTCCGGTTCTGGTGGTGCGCGCCTCCAAGATGGCGGCACGTCCGTTTCCGGGAGGCGTGCGCCTTCAAGATGGCGGCACGTCCGGTTCCGAGGGGGCCATCTCCCCATCCAAGGTGGTGGCACGGCGCTACCAAGAGGGTGGGAGGAGAGAGGGCGGGAAGGCGGGAGGAGGGAGGTTTTTTTGGGGGGGGGGTTGTGGGGTGTGGAGGGGTTGGTGGGTGGGTGGTGGTAGTGGTGAAGAGGGTAGTCAAAGCAATGGATGAAAGCGTTCTTTCGGGAGAGATGGGTGTCCCTGAAAAGGGCCGTTGGATCTTGAAGAAGATTACTCCCTCACCCACATAGACAAGGCAAAGGCAAGGATGGATCGTTAGCTGTCTACTGACAGGACCCTTTCTTGTGTGGCTTAAATGCCTCATGTAAGTGTCCTTCAGGACGGTGTTACAATATGTTGTAGACCTTATGTGTAATCCTTATTTGCAAGAGATTACAGTCCACGGGGTTGTGAGAAAATTCTGTTTATTCAGCAAGGCATACAGAAGACACTCCTGAAACAATTTAAATCACAATATATCACATGTTTCAGAATACATGTACAATAACACATTAAATGTAAAGTATTGATCTGCTTGATCATTACAGCAGACACACAAATATATTTCTGCCTCGATAACTTATCAGTGCAGATCTACCTTCATATACAAAGACAATATAATTACACATTATTAAACGCATAACTAAGGAAATCATTAAATCATCACCTAATTATATTATGCATAATGAATGCACAACATGAACATATTATATAGATAAACTATATACAAAACATACCCTGTGTGTGACACGAGAGTGTAACATGCCTTCTGCCCGTCATCTCATTCGACAGTCACATGAAACTTGATAACTTGATGCTCAATCCAGTGTTGTGCAGTGCAGGTGGGTGTGTGCAGCATAAGATTAGCAATGGCAGGTGAGAAAGGGATTTGAATTGAAAGGTATACTAATTGGGTAACAACAGGTAAACCTAATGACGAGCAAACAATAGAACAAAACACCCTTGGAAGTAAAATAGACTGGACCATTGACCTTTGACCCAGTAGAAAGTTATCAGGAGCAAATACTGATAAGGACACAACTAATGATAGATAGAAACCAGGAAATGACACAACCCTCTGCTGAATCAGCAAGCTGAAATAGAAAAGACATGATACCTTATCTACACTAAAAATACATACATATTTACAAGCTGCAGAATTAACACCTACTACAAATATACGCACTGGAATGTTCCATCACATGCCCTCGTCCCATATGCATACACAGGCAGGCAGCCATGGCAGAGGCGACATTGCAATGGAGGAGTGTGAGTGAGTTGGGTTTTACGTCGCTTTTAACAGTATTCCAGTTATATTGCAGCGTGTCAGCTTAATGTGGGAGGAAAGAAAGAAGTGACGCAGGTCTCAGACTATCACTTCGGTGAAACCCACGAGCACGGGTATGGCGCTGACAATCCTAGAAACATAATCGAGGCGAACCGGGATTCGAACCCACAATCATAGTTTCTGGCGTGCCCAAGGAACGCAACTCTGCACAGCGAATCGCGGCGCCTTAGACACCCGTGCCCCCTTGCCATGGAGGAAGCGATGACAATGCTGGTGATGCTTTTGTCTTCGTAGAAAAGTCCCACTGGCAGTGGCAGTCTTTGCACAGCGGCAAAGGCTGTGCAACTGGAATCAACTCCAAGTCCCAATTCTCTGAGGTGGTTGCCATGATGATGATAATGATGATCTCATAGAATGCAGTGTGAGTGGTTTCGCTCTTGTTTTAAAGGAGAGGCACTGAAACCCTGATTCCTGATTGGTCCAACAAGCTGCGTTTGATTGTGTTTCTTTTCCATAGGAAATGGATTTTACCATCGGAGAGAAAGCAAAACCCCGGTTCAACCAATCAGAGCCCAGAACGGTCCGAGCACGGCCCCTGGTTGGTCCACAACCCAAGCCTCTGATTGGTCAGATTTCGATCCGGTTCTTTTGGGTAGTCATGTTTTTAGGTAGACGGTCGTCTGAATTCTAAAGGCGGACCGTCATGGAGAAGTGAACGAAAAATACAGACGTCTGGTGTCCGAAGAAGCACGGAAGAGAAGAGTGGAGTGTCTTCTTCACTCCTAGTGACAAAGTTTCCTGTTCACTGTGTTTTAGGAATGTACAGACGTTCACACCCTAGTGGTCACCCTAGTGTTCACAAAAATCACAGGACGCCTCCCTCATCCTGTGGCTTTTTGTTTTGTTGTGTTGGTTCATGTGAGTGGGGAATTAAAAAAAGTGGAACAAAAATAAGTGTTTTGTTGTCTTTTTAGGTTGGAGAAACCAGCATGCTCAACCCAGGAAGAAAAAACAGGACCGAAATGCACACCCCAGAAAAATCCAAAATTTAGTTTGGTGCCGCATTAAGTACATCCATACTACCGCACCAAGTACATGCTTACTCCCGCACCAAGTACACCCATACACACGCACCACGTACACTCATACTCCCGCATTAAGTACACTTATACCACCACACTAAGTACACTTAAACTCCCACATTAAGATATTTTTCATTCCCATTAATTTCACCATTAGGTATACGTATGAGTAATTCTTAGCCTACTCTTCTAACATCTGGCGTACAAAGACGCACAGATGTAACTGCGCATGTTAATGTCATTTTTCGATGCTTGATGTAACAATTCAAAACCTTATTCCAACATGTGGTAACTCATGGAAATGCACTATTTCTCGCAGCGTGGACCATGGATGTTGTCTTCTGGACTTGTACACAAGACAGATCCGATAGATACGGAAGACTGCATCAATTTCTCTTGAACAACATCGATGTGGTACACAAACCATTTTCGTTATCTATCTAGCAACTGAATATGAGTGTACTTGATGCGGGAGTATGGGGGTGCCTGGTGCGGGTGTATGAATGTACTTTGTGCGGGAGTTTGAGTCTACTTAATGTGGGAGTTTAAGTGTACTTAGTGTGGTGGTATAAGTGTACTTATTGCGGGAGTATGAGTGTACGTGGTGCGTGTGTATGGGTGTACTTGGTGCGGGAGTATGCGTGTACTTAATGCGGCACCAAACTAAATTTTGGATTTTTCTGGGGTGTGCATTTCGATCCTGTTTTTTCTTCTAGGGGTGAGCATGCTGGTTTCTCCATCCTAAAAAGACAACACAACACTTATTTTTAGTCAATTTTTTTTAATTCCCCTCTCACATGAACCAACACAACAAAACAAAAAGCCACAGGATGAGGGGGGCGTCCTGTGATTTTTGTGAACACTAGGGTGACCACTAGGGTGTGAACGTCTGTACATTCCTAAAACACAGTGAACAGGAAACTTTGTCACTAGGAGTGAAGAAGACACTCCACTCTTCTCTTCCGTTCTCTTCGGACACCAGACGTCTGTATTTTTCGTTCACTTCTCCATCAGGACAAAACACACACAAGTATTCGCAGGGGACTCTGGCGTGCTTCAGTTGTTCTTTCCAGGGTTTGTCTGTGGCTTCCCATTGGCAGAGTGTCACACCGCAGCAATAACAGATAACACAGTCACCTCGTCCTTGATAGAAATAAC